TAGTTTGTCACTGTGCCCCTGCTTCATCTTCATGGACTTGGTTGGGCATGAGGTGGACTTAGTGGCCAAGTTCTGACCACAGAACTCCCTGTGAACAGTTTGTGAGTCCAGAAAGACAGGACAATACACTGTGGCTCACAAGGATACACTTGAGGACTGGTAGGTCCCCTACCCTACCTCCCTTTGGAAAAGAGAATGGTTTGGGGGTGGTGTTTTTCTCTTTGCTCACTAAGATAGCTATTTTAAAAATCTAAGCTTTTATTTGGATGTAATTCCTAAGTTATCATTTCTAAGCTTCCTTTAACATTTTTGACATACCCATGGTGTCTAAGTATCACTAAAATATATAGTGATACACATACTATATATATGTATAGTACACACACACACACACACACACACACACACACATTATTGCCAATAGAAGTGTGGTGATCAAGTTCAAACTCCTTTGTATAGCATTCAAAGCTCTTTTCAACGTAGTCCTAACCTGCCTCTCTCATATCATCTTCCATTCTCTTTTATATGCCTTTTATTTCAACCACATTAGACTTTCTCAGAGATACCTTCCTGTGTTATATCTTTCCAGCTCTGTGACAAAATATCTGAGGTAATGAATTCATAATCAAGAAAGGTTTATTTTGGTCAGTTTCAGAGGTTTTAGTGCTTGGTTGCTTGGTTCCATTGCTGTGGGCCTGTGGACAGCAAAACATCTTTTTTGGGAGATCGTGGTGGAACAGTGCTGCTTACCTTATGGTGATCAGGAAGCGAGACTGACCCCTCATTCCAGAAAGCAAGAAGAAAGATCCCTTTTTTAACAAAGACCCCTCCACACCAGGCCCATTAAGCTAACAATCCATAAATGGGTCAATCCATTCATAAAGTCAGAGCCCTCATCATTCTATCACCTCCCAAAGGCCTTACCTCTGCATGCTGCTGTACTGGGGACCAAGTCTTCAACACATAAGGTGTTGGGGTCCATAACATTCCACCCATGAACTTCAATTTCACAATGCAAACTGCAGTCAGTCCATCTCTAAGAGTCTCCAAAGTCTTAACAGTCCCATTGTTACTTAAAAGCTCAAGTCCAGTCTTCAGTGAGACTGAAAACAAACTGCTGTCAGCCCCCATGAAATGAAAACATTACATGCTTCCAAGCTACAATGGCACAAGGTAAACAGTCCCATTGCAGAAAGGAGGAATAAGAAAATAACAAGGAGGAATCAGACCCAAGCAAGATGAAAACCACCAGGGCAAGCATAAAATCCTGTACCTCTACGTTTGACTTAACTGTGTGATGTGAGCGCCAAAGAACTGGAGCATCAGGCCGTTATGGCCTGGCATGCTTCAGCCCACAGGGTTTCGCTCTTGGGCTAGCTCTGCTTGCTGCCAACAGCTTCCTTCAGCAGGTGTTCTAGGTTCCTGCAATCTCCAACTTCTTGGGGTCTCCATTTCAGCTTTGGTTTCACCCTCACAGCTTCATATATTGCCCATTCATTCAGGGGCTGCTCACAGGATCTCTGACCTTGCCCCCTGTTGCCTGGCCTCCTAGACTTTCCTTTGAAATCTCAGTGGAAGGCTCCAGGACCCTATAACTGCATTCTGCATGCCTGAAAACCAGCACCACTGGCTAACACCAAGGTCTACCTCCAGCATGAGCAGCTGCTTGAACCACATGAACCATGGCTGCAGCAAACGCTGAGTGCCTGGATGGCTGCACATGGGGAAAGAAATCCTGAGGGAGCAATTCTCTAGGCAGTGCTGTGTGAGCAGGCTGCCCTGGGACTTTCCTCAAAGCAAAGCCTTTTATACCCTTGAGCTTGGGTTGAGTGGGGTCTTGCCAATTTCTGAGATACCCTCAAAGCATCTTTGCTGTTGTTCCAGTGCAAAGTACTTGGCTTCTTTTTAATGGATTAAATCTTTTTAGCAACCATACCCTATTCGGCTGTATCTTTAAACTGGCTCTTTTCCTGGCAAAATTGAAAGGTTTACAATTCTGCTCCACTTTTTTGCTCCCAATTCTCACTCTAAATCTGGCTAAAAGCACCCAGCAATACAATGCCACTGCCTGAATGCTGTGCTGCCTTGAAACTTCCTCCGCCAAATAAACTAGTCCATCACTTTTAAACTCAGCCTCCTATAAAGTCTCAGAGCATGTACAAAATGTAGATAAGTGCTCTGCCAGAATATAATATGGTCTCTAGTCCAATTCCCAGCAGAGTCCTCATTTCCACCTTAAACTTCTTCAGCACAGCCTTTACTGTTCCTGTAAGCATCCTGGTCTTTTGAGTTTCCTCCAGAATCAGCCAGTAAGCTCTGTTTACAGCATTCTAAGGCTTTTCTGAACTTCCCCGAATTCCATCCACACACCAATCCCAAAGGCTTCTGATCACATATTCAGATATTGCTGCAACAACACCACTTCCCAGTACCAACTTTCTGTGTTAGATTTTCATCCCTATCACTAAATATCTGACACAAACAACTTAAAGGAGAGGTTGATGTATTTTAGCTCACAGTTTCAGAGGTTTCAGTCCATGGTCACTTAGCCCAATTTCTCTGAGTGAAGCAGAATACTAAGGCAGGGTGTGTGGTACAGCCAAGCTGCTCACCTTCTGGTGGCAGGGGAAGCAAACAGAGAGCCTGCTTTTCTAAGAAGCCCCTTCCTCGAAATCCATTAACCTATGGATCCATAAATGGATTAATCCACTATAAGGTCAGGGCCCAAATTATCCAATCACTTTCCAAAGGCCCCACCTCTGAACACTGTTGCACTCAGCTTCAACATATGAGCTTAACATCCAAAACATAATACTTTCCATATTATACCCCAAACTAAAATAACTTCTCTTAAATCACACCCTCCTTCGTTGTACTATATAACTTTTGTGCAATAATATGTTTCATACCAGTCTGCCGTACTACTATATATCCACAAAGGTAGGAACTGTATCTCTTTTGTGTACACTGTTTTGTGGACATTTGGTGTAGGCTGACTTATAAATACTGTGTTCTTGGGCTTCTCTATACACTTGCACTAACAGTTACGGCAAATGCCCCTTTCCCCTTCAAATATCTAGATGAAATGTCACCTTCTCTGTGAGACATTCTACAACTCTCCTAAAGGTACTTAGCTCCTCCTTTTCACATGTTCACAAAGCCATCTGTTCTTATTTTTTCTTCTAACATAGCATACATTCTGTAATCAATAATCAATATACATAAAGCACTCATGTAACATGAATGGGATGCTGGGTTCCATCCCCAGAACTGCAAAAAAAAAAAATTCAATTTACATATATTGCTTTGACTAAAATATATTTCATAGTACTTACCTCTGAGTGCCTGATTCTAATTTTTAAGGTCTTGTCTGTAATCACCTTGATGTTCCCAAGGTCCCCCACTGAAAATTTCTTGACTCACACTTTGAAAACCAACTAGAAAGCTTTTGCAATAGTCTAAGCAAGAAATAGGGACAAGAGCTCTGGTAGTAGAATGGAGACATGGAAACTGATTTAATAGATTACAGAGGTAACTGGGAAGATTTAATCATTGCATGGATTAAACTGGAGGGCCATGCTGCAAAAAATAATGAGACTACATTTTCGAGGGAGGGATGGAGGATGGAGGGAGCGGGTAGAAAGGGATGGGGAGAGAAGGAGGGAGGTAAGAGAAGTAGAAAAGAACATTTAGGTAGGAATAAAGGAAAAAAAATTTTTTCTTTTTTTTTTTTGCAATATTGGGGCTTGAACTCAGGCCTTCATCTTGAGCCACTCTACCAGCCTTTTTTTGTGAAGAATTTTTTTTGAGATAGGATCTCGTGGAACTATTTGCCTGGGCTGGCTTTGAACCGTGATCCTTCTGATCTCTGCCTCCCAAGTAGCCAGGATTATAGGCATGAGCCACCAGCGCCAGGCTGAAAAATTCTTTTTTTTTTTTTAATTATAAATTTTTATTAGGATATATTCATTATGGGGGAATTCTTAGTGATAATTCCAATGAGACTTATATTGCACATTATTTACATTGCCCCTATCGTCTCTCTTCCTCGGCCCCCTCCCCACCTCACTTAAAGCAACTGCAAGAGGTTACTGAGTTCTGTTTCATATAGGTATATGAAGTCCATCTGCCATCTACCATCACCTTCACCTCCTTCCCCCTCCCCCCGCCCCAAAGGAAAAGGTTTTACATCACATTTGCTAATGTGGTCCACGTGGTTAAAGAGCAAACAGAAGCAAAGCTGGGATCGCATAAAGAGTAGTCTTTCTCAGCTGGCACAACTACTCAGCCAGCAATCATGCAGATCATATAACAACCAATTGTCTGAGGAATCAGGACAGGTGACAGCTTGCAAGCCCAGCTCTGTGTCCTGAGCTCTGGTCGCACTGGCCATGTAAGGCCAGTGATGCGCTGAGTGACCCTGGGCAAGGTGTGACTTGCTCTTTGTGCCTTCGCCCTTCCCCCTGCAAATGGAGCTAAGGTGAACCAGCGCTGCTGTCCTGGGGATTAACTGAGATGTACCCCTAAGAGCTGACACGAGGTTCAACACGTGTTTGTAGAGTGAAAAATGGACAGCCGATCCCAGACGTCCGCTGAGGAAGGCGCCAGGGCGCGGATTTGGGGAAGTTCCTGAGGCCAAGGCTTTCGCTGCTTGGCTTCCCAGGGCACTCGGGGAGCCAGAGGGAGTTTCCATCTTGCAGGGTATTTTGTCACTACTAAGTTTGGTCATATCCCCTTGATTGGACTGTTCCGAGGCAGCAGCTCCTGCTCTCTCCGCCATGAGGCGCCCGGACCTTGCGGCCCATGCTCTGCTAAGCGGTCTTGCAGGAGTAGCCAACCAGGTTAACTTCCGGTTTGAAGCTCGGCCCCGATTGGCGAGAGGCCTTGTTTTCGGAGGGGCCCGCGCATGCGCTTTGCGAGATAGAGCGTGCAGGGGCACCTGGCTTCGCGGGGCGGGCCTTCGCCGCCACTCTGCGGGCGGACTCTGAGGCGGTGACTCGGGGGCGGGGCCGGGGCTCCGTTCTGATCCCCTGAGGCTCCGTTGAAAGGAGGACCGCAGCAAGAGCACTTTGCAGCCGCCAAGCTGGAGCTGGAAGCGAACGTCCGCGGGACCGGGGTGGTGGCGGCTGGGCAGCGGCTCCTCCAGGCCGAGGCGGTGGCCGTGTCCCAGCGGAGAGACCGGGGCCAGAGCGCGCTGCGCTGGTTCACCACCGCCATCCTGTGTGCCGCCTTCCTGGGGCTGGTGAGAGCCGGAGCCCGAGCAGGCTCCTTGCACCTGTGTGGCCTTGAGTGCATTAGTTAGTTGACCTGGTCTCAGTTGTCATCTGGAACATGGGTGCAGTTCTAACCGTGGCGGGCTGTTGTGAAGTGTGAAATTTATTTTCCTAACATGTTTGCCAGCAGCAAACCTTGTAGGTCTCCTGGGTCCCATGGGAAGCCTAGAGATGGGTATCCCAGGTCCATAGCCACTTGTCCTGGCCTCTCACACCCTCACGCTCCAAGTGATCACGTAGAAAAGATGCACTTTTTTTTTTCTTTTTGGATTTCTTCCTCCTGATGACCTAGCCAAATCCATCCAACTCCTTCATTTTGCAGATAGCGAAATAGGACCCAAGAGGGCCCAATTCACACAGGTGGCTAAGTGATAGAGTCAGGAAGTCTCACTCTGCCCACAGTCCTATTTAAATCTAGCCTTAAATGCTTTTCCTCCTCAGAGTGCCAGAGTAAAAGCACCTTTTGCTAAACTTGATCATTTCTGACTGGCGTGCTGAGAAGGTGAGTTCTTTGAGGAGAATCACCTGTGGTCAGTTAGTCCAGAATCTGAGCCAGGGTTATTTCTCAGAATATTTGCACTGTGTGTGTGTGTGTGTGGGGGGGCTGTTGGATGGGAAAGAAGTCCCTGCAGATGTTTGCTAAGCCCTCACTCTGTGCCAAGCCTTCAAAGGCATGAAGTAATTTGAGTAGAACCAGCGCTCAGCCTTCTTGTGTTCCATGCTGATGGGGCCTAGGCACACCCTGTGCTTAGTCCTGGACCCTGGACTGCTCCTGCTTGGACAGGGTGCATAATACTCTCCATTTGGAGTGGAGCAGTGCAATTACAATTAATTATTCTGGAAATGAGATGACTTAGAAACGTTTTTCTTAAAGGGTCTTAGAAATTTCCTCTGAAATGGAGCTGTACCCCTTAGTTCTTGCTAACACATTGTGTTAAAATCATCTGTATGTGTGCATGTAATGTGTGCTGAGAAAACCTTGCAGATCATATCCTTCCCAAGGACCTTGGAATTTCATTGAAGAAAAATGTAGATTTAGAAACAAAGTATTTATCTCTCACACATTGAATATATGTAGTGTGGAGGAAGAAGCCATGTGTATCAGAAATATTGCCATTGTAACAAAACTAGCAGGAATCACAATTTGATGTTTGGTAATTTCAAATTTTAACATCTAAATTCCTATTTCATAGTATAAAGAATGTATTTTTAAGATAGTTTTGTTTTATCTTATAACTGTTGATATAGAATAATAGCCTCTTAAATTATTGTTCCAAACTAAACAGAGTTGCAACAAAAGGCCAAAAAACCCCACTTTTTAGCTGGAGTGATGATACATTTCTACAGTCCCAGCACTGGGGAGGCTGAGCTGGAGGATCACTAGTTCAAAGTCAGCCTTGAGTACATAAGAAGACTTTGTTTCAGAAAAAAATTGAAACAACAATAACAAAAAAACCCATCCTTTAAAAATTGTGAGTTGTGAATAGAAGAAAACTCGTAGGCTTTTATAACTACTAAAATAATAGTGCTGTATATTTTTCTGACTATGGAACTTGAAAGTAATCCCTACATTATATTGTAATCTCCCCTCCCACTTTTTTTTTGTTGTAGAAAGTACTACCCTAAAGATGTACATTATTTTGATGTTTCTAACTAAGAACCCTTTATCTTTTTAAATTTTAGGGAATGAGTATTGCTATACTGGGCCCCACGTTTCAAGATTTGGCAAGAAATGTGAACCGAAATATCAGCAGTCTGTCTCTAATTTTTGTGAGCCGTGCTACTGGGTATTTGAGTGGCTCTATGGTTGGAGGAGTTCTTTTGGACTATATGAATCATTTTTTACTTTTGGGTAAGAAAACAATGATTTTTGCTTTATTTGTGCCTGTCAGTGAATTTTTACTGCTTGGCTCTAAATGTGAAAAGTTATCGACAACTAAAGTGGCCCGTGTTTCAGTGTCCACGGAGGCTGGCTTTGCCTGCTCTCACCTTGGCAACTGTGCTGGGCTGTCTGAAAACTTGATTACCTTCAGGTATGTGTGTGTGTGCTAGCTGTCCTGAGCCTTCCCCACCTTCACTATAAGTTAGGCACCACCTTGTTGCAAGGGTTGCACACTCATCCAAAAAGCTGTGCTTCTTGGTGTAGGGCAAGTCCCCTAGGGCCACCGGAGGTCAGAATGGGCACCTGGACCCTAGCCAGGCTCTCTGGACTCTGAATTGAAAATAAAGAGGGCAGGGGGTGGTGAGGAACTAATGTAGATTACATTTTTGTCCTTGCTGCCCCATGTCTGTGATGACCTCAGACTGCTCTACCTCAGCCTGGAAATAGATGGCAAAACTCTTAACATGCTGTGTGTTGAATAAATTGACATGCTTAAAGAAAACTTAGATTAATGTGATAAAACTATAGAAACAAGGAGGATAACTCATTGCTGATGAATAAGTAAATAATCCCTCCTATTTCCAAAGTGAAATGTGTATTTAGAGCTGACTTTTTAACTTTTCTTCTCAGGGGTATCAATGCTGGCCACCACAGTTGGTCTTTATCTTATTCCTTTCTGCAAGATCGCAGTATTGCTGGTTGTCATGATGTCTGTTATTGGTGTTTCAATTGGCATTCTGGACACAGGTCAGTGAATCCTTTAGTGTCATCTCTAGGAATAGAACACTACTGCTAGGAAAAGTGGAGCAGATAAAATGACACTATTATTTGTAATGCTCTTGAAATAAGAGTTGCTTAGTTGGTTATGGGGTCACCTAGTTAGAACCAGCCTTGTAGCAGCTATATTTCTTCATAATTAGGACATGCATTGTTGAGCATCCACCTATGGAATGTAAAGGATTTTTGTCCCATGAGAGATTATTGGTTTACAGTATCAAAACAGAAGGACCCTTCCCCCTTTATTTTTTGGTGGTACTAGGCTTTGAACTCATGGCTTTCTGCTTACTAGGCAGATACTCTACCACTTGAGCCACTTCACCAGCCCAGGAGAAAACAAATTTGTAACTATTTGGTTGCAGCAGTACAGATCAACCTCCAATTTAAAATGTCCCCAGTTTTAGAGCTTAGAGAAACCTGTGTTCTGTGCTCCTTTCCTTGTGTTTCTTTTTATTCTTTTCACTCAAAATTTCCTCTTCTCCCTCAGTACATCTTCTTCATGTGTCATTATGTGTTTGAAAACTTGCTAAATTACATATGTGATATTGTTCACCTCCAATTCCAGCTTTCTATGCTTCCCTTTCCAGTTTGAAAATTACTTGATAAATCATGGAAATAGTTTATACTTCAGGCTATTAGTTTGGTTGTAAATTTACAGGGTGTAATTATATGCATATCTGATTTTTAAAAATATCTGATTAAAAAGAGCCAAAGACCAATCCTCTGGCCTTTAACCTTGTATACTCAGATAGTGTAAGTACAGGTCCTAAAAGGTGGTGTTCTTGTTTCCTGTAACATGGATCCTGGAGTATTCAGGTTCTGAATGGGAGTTTTGCATCTGTTTTATACATAAATAAATAATATTTCTCAAATGGCTACCAATTGCAAGTACAGAAAGTTTTGGTGTTTTGTCTACTATCTGATTATCATCTGATAATATATAAATATATATATTGTAAATAAATAAATGCGTCCAATGGAATTTTATGCAGCCATGAAGAAGAACGAAATGTTATCATTCGCTGGTAAATGGATGGAATTGGAGAACATCATTCTGAGTGAGGTTAGCCTGGCTCAAAAAACCAAAAATCGTATGTTCTCCCTCATATGTGGACATTAGATCAAGGGCAAACACAACAAGGGGATTGGACTATGAGCACATGATAAAAGCGAGGGCACACAAGGGAGGGGTGAGGATAGGTAAGACACCTAAAAAACTAGCTAGCATTTGTTGCCCTTAACGCAGAGAAACTAAAGCAGATACCTTAAAGCAACTGAGGCCAATAGGAAAAGGGGAACAGGTACTAGAGAAAAGGTTAGATCAAAAAGAATTAACCTAGAAGGTAACACCCACGCACAGGAAATCAATGTGAGTCAATGCCCTGTATAGCTATCCTTATCTCAACCAGCAAAACCCCTTGTTCCTTCCTATTATTGCTTATACTCTCTCTACAACAAAATTAGAAATAAGGGCAAAATAGTTTCTGCTGGGTATTGGGGGGGGGGAGAGGGAGGGGGCGGAGTGGGTGGTAGGGGAGAGGGAGGGGGCGGAGTGGGTGGTAAGGGAGGGGGTGGGGGCAGGGGGGAGAAATGAACCAAGCCTTGTATGCACATATGAATAATAAAAGAAAAATAAATAAATAAATAAATAAATAAGTGCGTCAATATCATTCCTCAGTGTGGAATTAGCACTTCTTATAACAAGACTTTGGTACTGTGTCTGGCTCTAGAAGGTAGTATTTTACCAACTTGTAGAATTCCATGTGTGAGTATCAGATACTATAATACATCATTCTCTGGTAGTGATTCTGTGATTCCTTAATCACAGAATTGACTTAGGGAAAATGTTTGAATAACTTAGGTCATTACAGTACTCATATTATATAATACAGTGTCATGCCTCATTGAGAGTAATGAGCTAGTTTTTCGTTTTTGTTTTTACTAAGTTACTGTGTATAACTTACACCGTTTTTGCTATCTCTCATTGGTAGGCGGCAATGTTCTCATCTTGGCGATTTGGGGAGATAAAGGAGCCCCACACATGCAGGCCTTACACTTCAGTTTTGCCTTGGGTGCCTTTCTGGCTCCCCTTCTGGCTAAATTGGCCTTGGGTACAACCACCATGTCTGCTGAGAACCACACAGAGAATGGCTTTCTCCCTTCAGCCCTGAACCGATCGTCTGAAGCTGACTCAGGCTCTCTATTTGGAGTACCTGAAGACATGAATTTACTGTGGGCTTATGCTTCCGTTGGCACTTACATTCTAGTAGTTTCTATCTTTCTGTTTGCTCTGTTTTTTAAGAAAAGCTCAAGACAGGAAAAATCAACAGCATCTGCTCAGGAATATCGAAGAGCAAAATACCACAAGGCCCTTCTCTGTCTCCTTTTCCTGTTCTTCTTTTTTTATGTTGGAGCTGAGGTAACATACGGCTCTTACATTTTCTCATTTGCAACCACTCATGTTGGCATGGATGAAAAGGAAGCAGCTGGCTTGAACTCCATCTTCTGGGGGACCTTTGCAGCCTTCAGGGGCCTGGCAATCTTCTTTGCTGCATGTTTACAACCTGGAACCATGATTGTGGTGAGCAACATTGGTACCCTGACCTCATCTTTATTTCTGGTGCTGTTTGACAAGAGCCCACTTTGTCTCTGGATAGCATCTTCAGTGTATGGGGCCTCAATGGCCACCACGTTTCCCAGTGGTATTTCTTGGATTGAACAGTACACAACCATAAATGGGAAATCTGCAGCTTTTTTTGTAATTGGTGCTGCTCTGGGAGAAATGGCTATTCCTGCAATAATTGGAATTCTTCAAGGACAATACCCAGATTTGCCAGTAGTTCTGTACACCTGTTTGGGGTCAGCAATATTCACTGCTGTTTTATTTCCTGTAATGTATAAATTAGCTACTTTGCCTCTGGATCGCCAGCGAAAAAGAAGCAGAAAGAGTGAGGACCAGAAGGCTTTGCTTTCTAGCTCTGAGCTTCATGACTATGAAGAAGATAGTGGAGAGGAGGATGCAGAGAAATGGAATGAAATGGATTTTGAAGTGGTTGAGATGAATGATACCAATAGTCATTCAGTAATAGAGACATCTGAAAATACTTTGATGGAGGCACATAGCTGATGTCTCCAACCAGTTCCTCTCCAGTGCACTCAATTAATACTGATGATTGCCCTGTGAAGCCCCTTGCCAGAAGTCAGGACAGACGGGACTAATATTTAGAGAAGATCAATTGTTACTGACTTCATTAAATTATCACCACTTCTAAAGAGGCCAGAGCAGAGCATACTTTGGGGGTCAGAATTTCTAGATCCATGTTCAGCAAATGCCAAAACATTTTTAAATGTCTTGCATTTGCCAGAGTCTTCTATAAACTACCCAGTGGTCTCATACAGTAGGATGTTATAACGTGATTGGCAGGTGGCTGATTCAGTAATGTTTTATAGTCTCCACCTTTCAGAGTGTATGAAGAAGACATTTTGTTTGAGAAGTTGGGCAGCGTTGTGATGGAGAAAAATGGCAGAGAGATGGATCAAATTTTCTGAACAAATGATCAGGCATCCATAATCTGGCAGTGAAGTGGGGAGAGCAGGTCCCTTTGGAAAGGGACAAATGTTTTTATTAATTGCTTCACTTCTGTAAAGTTGAACCTATGCTTTTTAAAAATTTCTATTAGAACACAGAACTGGGCCAAGAATCCTGGCTTTAAGATGTGACTGTGCCTTCTGGCTGTACATTGAGTCACTTAATATGGGCTTCATTTATCTCATCTCCTGATTGAGGAGATGGCCTCTTCCTTTCAATGTAGAAGAAGGCATTTGTGTTTGAGTTTAGTACTGTTGTAACAGAAAAACCATGAGGAGTGGAATGAATTTGCTGAACAAATAATCAGGCATCCATATTCTGCTAAGGAAGTTCCTTCCCCTTCCTCCCTCCTTTTCTCCTTCCCTCCTTCCCTCCCTCCCTCCCTCCCTCTCCTCTTCTTCCTTTCTTTCCATTTTGTGATTTTAGAAATGAAAATGAGTCAATTTCCAATTTGTCACTTTTTTTTGAGGCAGTCGTTCAGGCTAGTCTGGAACTTGCTAGGCCCTTGTTAGCCTCCAGCTCACTATCTTCCTCACTATCCTCCTGCTTCTGTTTTCTGACTGCTGACAGCACCACCATGCCTGGCAAAACTTGTGTACTTTAAAAGTTTGTGCAAGACGTCTGCTAGAATACTGCATTATTCATTTGAAATGTAAAGTAAAACAAAAACAATAAAGTAGCTTTAAGAATATGCTACTGCAGGCTGGGCATGGTGGCACCCAGATACTTGGGAGGCAGAGGTAGAAGGATTGTGGTTGCAGGCCATCCTGGGGGAACTTAGCACCAGACCCTGTTTGAAAAACAAACTAAAAACAACAGGTTGGGGGTGTGGCTGAACTGAGTTCAACCCATACTACTGAAAAAAAAAAAAAAGTGCTATATGCTAGTTTAACATGAGGAATGGTTATTATAACTGGATAATTTTCTGAAGAATAGCCTTTTAGTGTTGCATTTCATTAATCTAAGATAAACCTTTTCCCTTACTTTCAACATGCGTTAGAAAGGGTATTTCCTTATACTTATTGAGCATTTACTATTTGAGAGATTTTATTGTTTTTTTCACATATATTTATATTTTTTTTGTAGTCAGCGTCTCAGATTTGGTGACATCACAATTCTTTAAATTACGGAGATTATACTATTTTTGCAGACATTTTTAAAATGAAAAGTTATTTTTATATGCTAATTTTCTCTATGTTCAGATGAGATTTGGAGATACTGTCTTCTTATTTTGGAAGGGGTAGCAGGGTTATTATTATATTAGTAATTGAACCATGGACAGATCTTTTGAGACCCTTGGCCTATGTCAGCAGGCTGGGTCTGGGCCTTGTCATTTCAAGATTTGGTCCTCATTGGTGTTAATTAACCCTGTGAGTACTGTAAACCAGGTTAAAAGTCAGTTTACAGTGAGGCACAGCTTTTTCTAGGAATTGGAAAACATCCCCTCTAGAGAACTTCCTCCTTGAGTAAAATACCTGGGAAACCAAAGTAAACATGAGAAGATGGCATCAGGGATGAGGAACAGTATTTATATGAGTATGACAAAAGTCTTTGATCAATGACTAGAATTGATAAGAGATTTTGTTTCCTCCTCAGGTTTTCTGCTGAATAATGTTGAATTGCTACTTGATTGCAATATGTTTGCTTTTTCTTACCTACTGTTTATTTGCTTTTATTAAAAAATTGCTTTGGTTTAAGTGAAACACAGCACCTTTCTTGACTACTAACCGTTCAGCTGATATGCCCACTGCTTATTGGTTCATGTTAATAATCTACTGACTTTGGAGAGAGCTGGTGACAAACTGGCAGTAAGAGCCTGTTGCTCTTTTTATTCCTTGCTTTTCCTTTAGCTGGAACTTGCAAGTTACCTCTGTTACACTCACTGATTTTCCTTGGGCTGTTGGGCCCTAAGCAATAGCAGTTACTTGGCTACTGTGAAGCTTGTTAAACAAGGATTCTATTCAGCATCTGTTCTTGGAGGGTAGGAGTTGGAGCCCAGGGGGAGAAGCATGGTAATAAGAACATGGCATACACTGAGAAATCCACACAGAAAGATTCTCTGTAATTGCACAAACCAAAATGTATATGGCCATATGAGAACGTAGGCTTTGTGAAGGTTTTGAAAAATGTATTTCTGTATTAGAAGGAAATGACAGTCCAATTCCAAGAATTCTCACTCACCTGAATGATCTGTTCTTAGGTAAATGTCTGCCGATACACAATAACCAACACTCAGTTTTCTATTTCTAACTAACAAATGACTTCAAATTTAACTGCTTAAAACAACATATACTTATCTCACATTTCTGTGATTAGGAATCTGGGCATGGCTTACTTTTTCCTTAACTGGGTGTCACAGGCCTGTAATCTTCCTCAGATATGGCTGTATTCTTTTTTTGCTGGACCTTGGGTACTTCTTCCAGGGATATGCTTGTTGGCACTATTTAGTTGCTTGTTACTGTGAACTAGAGTGCCTGTTTGCTGCTGGCTGTCAGCTGGTCACCACTCTTAGCTGGTAGAGACCTCCCACAGTTCCTTGCCATGTGATTCTCTGAGATCCTCTCACAACATAGCTGCCTCTTCAAAACAAGCAGAATCCCCAGAGAACTGTGCTAATCTGGAGTTGTATATCCCATAATGTAATTAAGGCAATGGTATCCCATCACCTTTACCATCTTTGATTGGCTTGAAGCAAATCACAGTTTCTGCCCAGATTCAAGAAGAGAGAGTAGAACGGGGATGGGACTCATTGGAGTTCATTAAAGGGAGTAGCTGCAATATTCAGGTACCTACAAAATTGAGGTTTTCAAATGGGTTAAAAACTATGAGCTCAGAAAAAAAGCTTCAGCAGTGACTGAAAGTGGTTACAGGGCTAGCCCATTGAGTGTACTTGTATGGAGTTGTAACTCTCCCTGCAGACCAGATCAACTCCATAGACAACCTTTTTACTGTTGGATACTCAGAATTATGCCCCCTAATATTTTACTTTTTGTCCTGTGCTTTTACTTATTCAAATTCAGTTTAATATGAAGGAAATAATGAAGTAATTGAAAAACATTCAATTTTCAGGACCTTTTTCAAATCATTATTTTTAATGAAAAACAATGTAATGGTAATGAACATGTAAAAGGTTGTGGGAAATTAGGCAAATATGTACAAATGTAAATGATAAGTATAAATCTAAAATCCCGAGAAATTTTGTTTCTCAACAACCCTTTATGAATGAAGGATAAAGGGAGTAAAAATGCTTCCTACTACATAAAACATCAGAAACAACCAATTTTGCATCTAAAATGTTTTGATATTACTTTTTTGGACTTTTTTTTTTTTTTTAAAGAATTGTACTTTGTTAGAAACCCAAAGGAGCTGGGGATATTGTTCTAAAAGAGTGCATGGGAGAGGCCCTTGGTCCTACCCATACATCCCCACTCTACACACATATAAGAAGGAAGTATAACAACAACAACAAAATAACTGGGAGATGACCAGTATTGCAACACACTCCTAAAAAATGCTCAATGACCCAGTTCACACCTAACATGGTTCATTGAGAAATTGAGACAGTTTTCTTATAACCAGAACTTTTAGACCATAGTAATGTATCTTTTAGTCCTGCCACTTAAACATTATTATCAAAGGAGAGTTCATTCTTTGTGAAAGAAATACAGTCTTGGGGTACCTGTGTTAGTTAAATGCTGTTCATTTTCTCACTGCTGATGTGTGCACAAATCTATATGTATGTTTGGTGTTTTTCTATACTTCAGGGCAGAAGGGGAAGGGATACAGAAAATGTATGAGTCATAGCTTGCTTTAAAATGTTCTTTTTCTAATTGAAATTTTTATTGAGATCATTACAGGTTCACACACAGTTATGCAATGTTTTTTTTTTAATTCTATGAACAAAGATATTTGTACAATCTAGAAGGATGGAGACCTAAACTGGTGTTTCTTGTATTTTAATGTGAGTTAGAATTGCCTGTTACTCACCATCTCTAGCAATAAAGGAAATGCAAATTAAAACCACGCTAAGATTCCACCTCACCCGTTAGAACAGCCATCATTAGCAACACCACCAACAACAGGTGTTGGCGAGGATGCGGGGAAAAAGGAACCCTCTTACACTGTTGGTGGGAATGTAAACTAGTACAACCACTCTGGAAAAAAATTTGGAGGCTACTTAAAAAGCTGGACATCGATCTACCATTTGATCCAGCAATACCACTCTTGGGGATATACCCAAAAGACTGTTACTCCAGAGGTACCTGCACATCCATGTTTATTGTGGCACTATTCACAATAGCCAAGTTATGGAAACAGCCAAGATGCCCCACCACTGACGAATGGATTAAGAAAATGTGGTATCTATACACAATGGAATTTTATGCAGCCATGAAGAAGAACGAAATGTTATCATTCGCTGGTAAATGGATGGAACTGGAGAACATCATTCTGAGTGAGGTTAGCCTGGCCCAAAAGACCAAAAATCGTATGTTCTCCCTCATATGTGGACATTAGATCAAGGGCAAACACAACAAGGGGATTGGACTTTGAGCACATGATAAAAGCGAGAGCACACAAGGGAGGGTGAGGATAGGTAAGACACCTAAAAAATAGCTAGCATTTGTTGCCCTTAACGCAGAGAAACTAAAGCAGATACCTTAAAGCAACTGAGGCCAATAGGAAAAGGGGACAGGAACTAGAGAAAAGGTTAGATCAAAAAGAATTAACCTAGAAGGTAACACCACACAGGAAATCAATGTGAGTCAATGCCCTGTATAGCTATCCTTATCTCAACCAGCAAAACTCCTTGTTCCTTCCTATTATTGCTTATACTCTCTCTTCAACAAAATTAGAGATAAGGGCAAAATAGTTTCTGCTGGGTATTGGGGTGGGGGGGAGAGGGAGGGGACAGTGTGTGGTAAAGGAGGGGGTGGGGGGCAGGGGGGAGAAATGATCTAAGCCTTGTATGCACATATGAATAATAAAATAATAAAAAACAGAAGGTGGAAAATGAAGGCTACACAGCTACAAGACTATTGGTGCGACATACAGTTCTGGAAATTTAGGTAATGTGCACCACCTGAGACTGATGAGGACAAGGTCCCTGGCAATCATTGGAACTGGATAGTCCTTAGGCTTTCTGGGTGGTCAGTTCCAGATGACCTCCCAGGACGACCTCATCTAA